GGCAAGATTTCATTCTTTTATATGGCTGAGTAATATTCCTGTGTGTGTGTGTGTGTGTGTGTGTCTGTATTTTGCTTCCCCACCCCCATCCTATGTTTTCCCAGAGCCCATTGTTGTATCACTGCTATGAACTTACAGTGCTCTTGCTCATTGCTGTTCCTCTCTTCACACCATTGATGGGGAAATTGCTCAGGTCTCATCTTTTAAAATACTTATTTGGAGGTGTAATTTACATACCATAAAAGTCACCTGTTATAAGTTTACAATTCAGTGTTTTTAAAATAAATTTATAGAATTTATGCAAACATCAACAGACCAATTTTAGAACATTTCCCCCTAAAATTCTCCCTGTGCCAGTTTGCAGTCAGTTTCTCCACCTGCCTCCAGCTTCGGACAGCCACGTTATCTAATGTGTCTGTCTCTATACGTTTGTCTTTTCTGGACATTTCGTATAAATGGAAACAAGTAATATGATTTCTTTTGTGTTGGTCTTTCACTCAGCATAATGATTTTGAGGTTTATCCATATATTAAGATGAATCAATAGTTTGGTCATTTTTATTTCTGAATACAATTCCATAGTATGGATATGTCACAATTTGTTTATTCATTTACTAGTTGATGGATATTTGAAATGTTTCCAGGGGTGCCTGGGTGGCTCAGTCAGTTAAGCGTCTGCCTCTGGCTCAGGTCATGATCCCAGGGTCCTGGGATTGAGCCCTGCATCAGGCTCCCTGCTCAGCCGGGAGTCTGCTTCTCCCTCTCCCTCTGTCTCTCCCCCTGCTTCTGCTCTCTCTCTCTCTCTCTCACTCACTCTCTCTCTCTTTCAAATAAATAAAATCTTAAAAAAAAAGAAATTCTTCCAGCTTTTTAGCTGTTATGAATAATGCTGTTATGAACATTTGTGTACAAGTCTTTGTGTGGACTTATGTTTTATTTCTCTTGGGTAGATTCCTAGGAGTAGAATTGTATCATTTTACATCTCCACCAGCAACATATGAAGGTGCTTGTCCCTCTACATCCTCATTACCACTTTTTTTTTTTGATTGTAGAAATCCTAGTGAGTGTGTAGTGGTATTTAATTGTGGTTTTAATTTTCAGTTCCTCAATGAGTAAAAATATTCAGCATCTTTTCATGTGATTATTAGTTATTTGCATATCTTTTGTGACGTATTTTCAAATCTTTTTCCTGTTTTTATTTATTTATTTATTTTAAAAGATTTTATTTATTTATTTGCCAGAGAGAGAGAGAGAGAGCAAGCACAAGCAGGGGGAGCAGCAGGCAGAGGGAGAAGCAAACTCTCTGGTGAGCAAGGAGCCTGATGCAGGACTTGATCCCAGGACCCTGGGATCATGACCTGAGCCAAAGGCAGACACTTAACCGAATGAGCCACCGAGGTGTCCCTCTTTTTCTTTTTTTAAACTACATTGTCTTCTTGTTATTGAGCTTTTCTCCCAGGCTGTGACTTGTCTTTTCATTCACTTAGGGGTGTCTTTTGAAGTGGAAAAGTTTTAAATTTTAAAGAAGTCTAATATATATATTTTTTCTTTTTTGAGATTGCATTTGGTATTATGTCCAAGAACTCATTGCCTAACTGAAGGTCATGAAGATTTCTCCTAATTTTTTGAGGTTCTTGGATCTGTAGGTTAATGCTTTTAATTAAATTTGGGAAGTTTTGGCCATTATTTTATCAAAAACTTCTCTACCCATTTCTGTTTTCTCCTCCTCCTCCTCCTTCTTCTTCATCCTTTTTTATTTTTATATTTTGCGGTTTTATTGAGTTTCTCTTTTTTCTTTTTAAGGGATTCCTATCACACCTACACTATTGTGCTTGATGTGGTCCCATAGGTCTTTGAGGCTTAATTTTTCTTCAGTCTTTGTTATCTGTCTTCTTTAGATTGAATAATTGCTATTGTTCTCTCTTCAAATTTACCAATTCTTTCTTCTTCCATCTCGTATCTGCTGTTTACCCTTCTGGTAAATTTTTACTTTTATTATTGTATTCTTTACCTCCAGAATTTTTATTTGGTTTTTTAAAAATATTTTCTATCCATTTATTGAGAGTCTCTACTTTTGGTTTATTGTCATACTTTTCTTTAGCTTTTCAAACACAATTTCCTTTCATTCTTTGATATACTTATAATAACTACTTTGCAATTTTTGTCTGCTAAATCCAATATTGGGGATACTCAGAGGCAATGTCTCTTGTCTGCTGTTTCCCTGCATATGGGTCACACTTTTCTATTTCTTTTTATATCTCACATTTTTTTTGGTCAAAAACTTGAAATTTTAGATAATATATTGTAGCAAGTCTGGATTCTGATTTTAACCGCCAGAGGGTTTTTGTTTGTTTAGTAACTTTCCTATGAAATGGGTCTCCCTTGTGGTGTGTGGCTGCTAATATCTGCTTACTTAAAAAAAAAAAAGTGTATACATATGTGTGTGTATATAATATATATAATATATAAATATATAAAAGTAAAATAAATACATACACACAGGCACACATATACTTTTCATAGTGCTCTGTCTGGTCTGTCCTGCACATGAGTACCAACTCCAGGTCAGCCAGAAAGCCATATGGAAAGGTTATCAGGTACCTCCAGGAGAGTCTCATTTCTTGTATTTCCCTCTTAAATTTGTGGCTAGTTCTTCAGTCTAATGTTTGTTCCAAATAAGACCCTATCTCAGACTGTTGTGATGATTGGTTTTCCTTGTTTGTTCACCACTGAGGTTGATACTTATCACACACTGAGTATCAGATTTTCCCCTTTAGCTCCAAGTCAAGTCACCCCTTTGTGGCAGTGGAGATGCCGGTCACACACAGCCTGGTCTAGCTGTTAGAACTCCTATACTAACAGATCTCAGAGGTGAGGGTGGGTTGATGGGATCATCCCCAGGCAGCTAGGCTGAGGAATTTCTACTGTTCTTACCCAAAATTTGTCATTAAAAAAAATTTTTTTTAAATTAATTTTTTATTGTTATGTTAATCACCATACATCATTAGTTTTAGATGTAGTGTTCCATGATTCATTGTTTGTGCATAACACCCAGTGCTCCATGCAGAACGTGCCCTCTTTAATACCCATCACCAGGCTAACCCATCCTCCCACCCCCTCCCCTCTAGAACCCTCAGTTTGTTTTTCAGAGTCCATTGTCTCTCATGGTTCATCTCCCCCTCCAAAGTTTGTCATTTTTTATGAATAAATCGTCTCAGTTTGTTGGATGCCTTTGGTTGATTTCCAGAGTCCTGAAAGAGCTATTTTGGTAATACTGTCCAGTATTTCAGTTGCTTCCAGGGAGGCGATTTGGTGACCTCCTCCTCCTGTCATGCCAGAGGTCCCAACTTACCTCAATTGTTTTTCTATCCACAAATTATTTTCTTATTTGTTACACAGTTTTCAATCTATGGTAATTGACCTCTTATATTTAAATGTGATTTGCTTTAAACGTAAATTCCAGGCAAAGGTCTTAGGTTGATAGTTGGCCCTCAGAGAAAAAATAACAGTTGAACCTCTCTTAACCAACCCCTACTAAATCAATTCACTACATTAACTGATGTAATTATATAATTTAATTAAATATTATGTAAACCAATGAACATTGAGTATGAACAGAGGGCTATTTCTGTGAAAACAAAGTCACATGCTTTGAAAAGACTCAGTAAATGTGAGTTGCTAAAACACTGCTGTTGAATTAAGGATGGGTAGGATGACTGTCAATGATTGCAGAGAAATAGAAAGATATGGAATGATTTTTGCATTCAGATTACCTCTTAATTGTCCTTAAATTTTTACTTTGCTTTAAAGAAATAGAAACTAGAAATTGTACATGGTGAGTTATGAATGTGGCTTTTGAAGAAAGATGAGCACGAACTTTCATCAATGTTCTAACATCAAAGAAAACGTCTTGACCCTCCATAACAAGTTAGAAGAATAAAACATGTTTATATTTTAAGTTACAATAAACTATGATGTTATGCATCGTTTTTGATTAACCAAATTATTATCAGTTCCAATAAAAAAAAGTGGTTTCTCTACTCTTTCATTACTCTAGGCACTGGGGGAGACCTTGGATAGGCTAGTTGCTGGCTGCCTTCCTGGGATGCTCCCCCAGACTCTGCAGTTGGCCTCTTGAATTAGCTCAAGGCACACTCCACCATCTCCCAGTCCATAGTGGAGGGAAAGGAGTAGAGGTTTGGGTGGGGACCATGGCTACTGTGGAAGCCATTGTGCATGTCAGGAAATCTTTAGACAGTTGAGCGGAGAACTTCAAGTCTCAGCACTTGAGACTTCCATGTTGATAATGCTTTGAGGGAGTCTGAGACTGCTACTGTTGAGAACTATGCCCATCCTGGGAAGACAGGAGTGAGCAGCTTTATGCATTCGGGAGGAATAGTATCATTTCCTAGACTTTGTCTATTAGGGTCAAGATTAGTTGGTGGTTGAAGATTTAGAGACAGACTAACCAAGAATCTGCCTCCAGAACACTGAAGAAACTCTGAGTGACATGGGGACATGTGGTCTAGCTCAACGCACCAAGGCAGTGCCTTTAGATGGGAGTTCAAGGCTGAAAACCTATGGTAGTGAATTCACCCAGAATATTATTTTCTCTTCCTCTTTCCCTCAGGTACCTGTGATAACCCTCAAATATTTGGTGGTCATGTAATTGGGTCATGTATACAATAAATCATGCATCTGGATTCCATATCAAATATTTCCCACTACCAAGGAGACAGACAGGACTATCCTGTCCTCCACTGTATGCACCAGTATGTATTCATCCCAAGTTTCACTTACTCAGCTAATCTGAAAACACATTCATACTGAAAAGTTAGGAAAGATTGTCCTAACATTTTGTTAAAAGGGATAACATGAATGTGAGATTTTAGGCACTGATGTTAGTTGATGGGGAAGAAAATTTTAGGTCTGTAAGACTTTTAGTGCTACCCAAACCATATAAGGAGGAAGCTGCTCAGTTTCTTTTTTTTTTTTTTTGCCAGTGCTACAATGCCTGTTTAATTGAAATCTTGTAATAAAAGTTTAAATACATAAAATGTTTTTTTATCAAAAGAACATCCCCCGCACCCCCAGCCTGATGCGCATAGAGCAGGGGCAGTGGGAACTGGCTACCTACAGGGAATGGAGAAATGGCAGGTCCAACTCTTGTTGGCTTCGTATTCCTCAAAAAATGCTCTGTGAGTGAATTCAGAGTTCAGCTGAGTGAGAACCCTACCCCACACTGGCTTTCTTCAAGTAACTCGAGTCCACACAAGGCATTCTATACCGTGGAGAAAGCTCCTCTTGGCTTTCAGAAGACAAGGAAGAGCAGGGCTTCGTGTCTGGGCAGCACTATGTTCTCAATGGTGCATTCCATGGAGTGCACCTGCTCAGGGGAGGCCATCAGGAAGGCCAAGGGCCCGATGCGCTGCTCCGCACAGGAGTGGCAGAGGTAGCCACCCCTGTTTTCCTTCCTGTTGCTGTAAGTGATGGGGAGCTTCTTCATGGTGAGCACGGTGTCCACGGGGATGGAATTGTTGCACTGCCCCACTCAGCAGCACACCACTCCGGTCTTCAAGACATTACTGGTCAGCTCTGCTTGGAGGAAGTACTCCCCAGGTAAAGTCAAAATGTTCTCCAAGGATTTGGTCACGATGAGACGCTTCTTGGCACGGGTTACTGCAACATACAGTAAATTCCATTCATCCTCAGAAAACGACTCGACTCTGAAGTGGGGCAGCTGCGTGAGGTTGTGCCTGGCACAAGGCACTTTCACAAAATCATCCAACACATGCACGGTGTCAAACTCCAAGCCTTTGGCTTGTGCACAGTGCCCAAGATGTACTCTGCAAAGTCCAGGTCTTCTATGTGGCACTTCTCTATCCTCTGCACCAGTTCTGGAATCCGGATGTTATACTTCTCAACGACTGCAATCTTGGCTTCCAGCTCCTTGTCCTCGGCTGCAGTCACATACCTCTTGAAGCCACTGAAGCCTTCTTTGTGCACCCATCTTCTAATAAACTTGTCTTTAATAACGAGGTTCTGTTTCTTCCGTTCTTCCTCCGGCTGAAGAAGGATCCAGATATCAATGATTCTGTCCAATCCAAAGGATTGGATTAATCCCCCCAATCAGATGTATCCTCTCAGGGACTTCTCCTTCAGTCACCCGCACAGCCTCATCAAACACATTGGCATTGGTCCGGGACAACAGGGCCATTTGGCCTTTGGCATCACCTCTAATGCCACTCTGATGGTTTCCTCCAACCAAAGTCTTTTTCCTTACTGGCTTGCAGACATCCAAGATAGTAGCTCCCACATATGCTATTTCCACGCCAAACCTGGAACTCTGTGTGAGATAGAAGACGTACGTGTGAGGGACTGTAAACAGAGCATTGACTGCACCACAGAAGGTATAGATCTGTTGATGTGGGTCCCCTACAAAGATTTTCCCTCATGGCTGAGACAGAACTATGTTCATGATAGCTGGGGTACAGTCCTGGGCCTCATCCACAAAGATGGCATCAAAAGAGGCAAGCAAAGCCTTGCTTAGCTGCCAGAGTTTCAAATAGCCATCATGAGTCATTTGGTAAGCCTCTTCTTTGCATTCTCCCAACTTCCGCATGTTGTCCCAGAGTCGGCTGGCTTCAAGGACACCATTCAGCTTCCCACTCTGTTCAACCATGACTCTCTGTCCTTGGCTGTTCTTACACCAGATAGGCATGTGATCAATAGTCGGCTCCTCGTCGGCCGAGGCAAAGAATTTTTCTAAAGTCTTACATACTAGCTTGGCCCTTATGAATCCACCTTTCCCTTCAGCGAGGACAGAATTGACCATGAAGGGGGTCAACTTGAAGAGATTCAATTTCTTCTTTAATTGATACTTCCGCCCGACGTGTCCATAGGCCATGGAATGAAAGGTTTTGCAGATGACATTGCTGGTGAAGACTAGCCCGGCCTGCTTTGCGATGCTCTTGTTGAATGTCACATACAGAAACCTGCTCTCAGACCACTTCTCAGCATACTTGACCAGGGTAGAGGTCTTCCCGGTGCCTGCAAATGCCATAATCTTTACCACCTGGAGAGGTTCCATCTTGTGGCTCAGAATCAGCTGTTGTTCATGTGTAAGTTGGATGGCTGTTTTCTTGCCTGGCCAAACTGATGGTTCCTCTTTAACTTGTCTGGCCTGAGTATAGGAATTCTCCTGAAGATACAGGCAATAGAAAATGTTGTAGGGACGCTTGGGTGGCTCAGTCGGTTAGGTGTCTGCCTTTGGCTCAGGTCATGATCCCAGGGTCCTGGGATCGAGTCCCGCATCGGGCTCCCTGCGCCGCGGGGAGCCTGCTTCTCCCTCTGCCTCTGTCTCTCTCTCTGTCTCTCATGAATAAATAAATAAAATATTTAAAAAAAAAAAAAGAAAATGTTGTAGTGAATCTGGTTGCTGATGTTGACCCCCTTCTCCCTCATGGTGTAGAGAAGCACAGTGATGCAATACAGGGTCTCAGTGATGTCTGGCATGGTCACGGTGGAGCTGGGCCTCTGGAGGCAGAACAGCAGCTGCTGGATGTCATTCATGCTGCTGGACAGCAGGACGATGGCCGCTACCAGAGCCCACACGTTGACACCGGCAGCTGCCACATAGAGATCAGGGAGGTGCTGACGCACGCATGCCTCTGCCTCAGGAAGGAGGAGGTGGTCCCTCAGACTCCACAGCGCCCGTCCAGGGTCCACGCTGGGGGAGCATTTCGTCGTGGCCGTATAGCAGATGAGGTTCAGCACACAAAGGTCTGACTCCTTCTCAATACCATAGTTCAACAGGATGCCATCCACTTTGCTCACAGCTTGCTCTTCATTCATCAGGTATCGATGATACAGCTTTTTCCAAGGAATGAACAGCAGATCACTGATGATCTCTCTCCAAAGGTGGCACACTAGGCTCACATTCCAGTAGAGATCTCCCACGGGGAAGAAGGCAAAGATGTGCCTGAGGACTTCACTGGGCAGGCTACATGTGTGGCTCTGGGGTTCTTGGCAGGGCAAGGTCCCAAGAAGCCCATAGTAAGAGTCAGGAATGGGATCAGGACCAATGTCCTCCACTTCTTGGCCAGGTTCTCCAGACTCTGCGGAGCGCCGTGACAGAGAGTCCTCGGCTTCTTGCCTGGCTTCCCTGGGTCTTGCGCACGACAGGGACAAACGATGCTGTGGAGTCTTTTTAGAAACCCCATCCCACTGACTGGCCCCTGTCCCTTGATTCCTGTCGTCCTCAAAGGACCGAGACCGCTTCCTGGCAGGCAGAGCGGATCCCGACGAGCCCAGTCTTACTTCGGCATCACCTTCCTGAGGCAGGCACAATTGCTCTCTGCAGCAAAGATCATTTCCCCCTCCGAGTCCTTAGAGGTGTCCTGGCCCACAGAATTGCTTTTGGCCATGTCATTGATGCACCGCTGCTGGCTGGCTGGGAAGAATTCAGTGTTGTATCTTTGACATCCTTGACTATGGCGCTCCGGACTGGGCCTCCCGCCACCACTGCCGCCGCCGCTGCAGGGCCCGGGCCACCTGGCCTCCCAGTCCTGCTCAGTTTCTTTTTAAAGATTTATTTGTTTATTTGAGGGAGAGAGAGAGAGAGAGAGAGCATGAGCAGGGAAAGGGGCAGAGGGAGAGAGAGAGAGAGAGAGAGCATGAGCAGGGAAAGGGGCAGAGGGAGAGAGAGAGAGAGAGAGAGAGCATGAGCAGGGAAAGGGGCAGAGGGAGAGAGAGAGAGAGAGAGCATGAGCAGGGAAAGGGGCAGAGGGAGAGAGAGAATCTCAAGCAGACTCCCTGCTGAACGTGGAGCCTGGTGCAGGGCGTGATCCCACGACCCAGAGATCATGACCTGAGTTGAAATCAAGAGTGAGAAGCTTAACTGACTGAGTCACCCAGGCGCTCCAGGAAGCTGTTAAGTTTGCATAGATTCTAGACTGGGCAGAGCTAGCTGCAGTGATCACCATACAAGGTGTGAGGCTCTTTACCTGAGGAAGCAGGTAAAGTTGTAATGATTTTGAAAATCTGGTTATCTTGATAATGGATTGGAAGATCATAGAAAACTTTTTATGTGTTCTCCAAAAACATTGTGTTCACTGAAATCTATATATATGCATCTATTAAAAAAACAAGCATGGAAAAGGCAGAATTTTAGAATTCCTTGCCCTATATAAAGTCTCATGGCTTAGTTGAAATAAGCTTGGTGCTTTTTATTCACTTGTTGAATCTGGATCAAGATCTTGATTCTCAGTCTTTTGTCAACAGTGAGGAAAGCAATGAAGCTCTGAATGAAAAGTGACCTTAGGAAGACAATGCAGATACTCTCCCTCCAGAGGCACCCAACTTGGGAGAAAAATCTTAATAATGATGCTGAGATCCTGGAGGACTTAAGGTTTTGAAAAGGGTGGAGGCTTGGCATGAACTTGTTAGAGACCCAGGGGCTGAGAGGCTACAGGGTTTCTGCTAAGGACTAGAGCTGGGCCTCTCTGTATCTTGGGGCAGAGAGGGAAAGAGAAATGGCTTGACTCACCTCCTCCTCCTTTCTGCCTCCTGCTCTTTCTTATCCTCCCAACCCTTCCTTTGCAGGCTTTTTGCACCATTACCCAATAAGGAGGGAGAGCATAAAGCCAGCAGAAGAGAGGGAGGTCCTGGAGGTTCATTTGGAATGGGTTTCCCTCCCTCTCTCAGAAAATGGAAGACTTCCCTTAAAGAAAACAATGCCATTCCCCTACTCTGGCCCCACCTTGTCTGAAACCTGCTTTATCCCAAATAGAACCCCATGGCTTTATTTGTTTCCTTTCTGGTTTGCTATTGATAGCAAGCATTTCTATTCTCTCTCGCTCTCTCTCTTTCTCGCTCTCTCTCTAGCTCTGTCTCCCTCTTCCTTTTTCTCTCTTTAGCTTCTAGCTCTCCTCTGGTCCTGCTGAGAGAACATAATACAGCCTTATTTGTGACTCTGCAGTGATTTCCATGGCAACCGACCCATGGCCCAGGTATGAGTCTGTGCCTTCACCGTAGGACTGTGCAAGAGAAAAGGCCATTATTGAAACAGAGTGTCAGCAGGTTTCCTCCCACAGCCGTTGCCCAGAGAGGAACTTCTGCAGGAGTCAAAGGAGGGACACATGAATCAAAAGCACGGTTCCCAGCTTGCTCAAATTTCCCCAGTGTAAATGAAATGCCTGCAGCCCAGCACACATTCATGCATGCGCACGCACACACATATGCACACCCTACTTCTCTTTCTGGCCCTCAGCCATGGAGCAGTTTTCCCTTTGAAGGGAATCAGCTCCAATGTTGTGGCCTGAAACAAAAGCTGGTGTTCGAAACCAGAGATGGGCTTGGCAGCAGTATAGGATGGGGGTGGGGGAGAGAGTGCGGACAAGAGCAAAGACAGGAGCAGATAAAAGGTTATGAAGTCGGTGATGTGGGAAAGAGGAAGAAATCTCAGAGCCCTTGACCCAACGACAAATGGGAGAGAGGGAGGGAGAACAGAGGGTTTTTTCAACTGGGGACTTCCTGAAACAGCTCATAAGTGCACATTATTGGGCTGTGTGACTTATACACGATGAAACCATATAAGATGGCCTGGGAGCCTGATACCTCTCCTCACTAGTCTCTCTCTTTTTTCTATCCCTTTCCTCGGATCTCTGCTTTTTGTTCTATTCCACTTTAGTCTGGGTCGGGGGAATGCCATTTTGGGTAGGCGCTAGAGCAATCCTAGTCAAATTCCCTCTTCTTGCCTCTCCCTTCCCTCCCACCAAAGCTCTTGAATCCAGATAAAGAGACAAGGGAAGGGGTCTCTTGCCCGCCACTCATGAGAAATGTCTGCTCATTGAAAATAAATGGAACTTGCTGCAGTCTGGAGCCAAGAGTGTATTCCGGTTTTTGCTGCAACCAGGATGAATTAATCTTTATTAAGCAGATGTACAGAGGACCAGGTTGTCTCCATAACATCTCCACGGCCATCCTCTCCCCATTTCTTTTATTGATCTGCCTGTCTAAATGAGCACTTCTAAACTCGGTGGGAGTTTTCCAATTAGGTAAAAGGCAATTCATGTCGCCTGCTGCCTCCGCACTGCACTAACAGCCCCAAACCAAGACTTCTTGGCAGAACAACCTGCTTTAATCAAGACGGCCCCCTCCCGAGCACCCTCGTCTGCAGGACATTTCTCTTAATATGCAAGGGCTTTCTTTATTGGAGGTGGAGAAAAATGAATTGCTTCTCCAGGAGTGGGGTTGCAAGGTGAGCTGTGTAGTTAATGGAGAAGACACATGGCCCACTCTCTGGGCTGGTGTTTTAGAAAAGGCAGCTTGGCAATTATTTTTGGGTCAAGCAATGACTCGAGGATTTTCAGATCTCTGTGTGGGGTGGGGTGTGGAGGGGTCCTCCTGTCCCTGGATGAGTCAGAGCTTGGGTAGCATAGTGTTCTGAGGGCTCTGCCCTCCATCAGTAAGGTCAGAGTGGGGTCAGAGGGGTGGTGCCCCAGAGGTGAATGCTTCCATCCCAGGATGTGCACCACCATCAATTGATGAATATAGAGGGCCCAAAACCTGGACATCAGCAGGGGCCCCCCATGGCCATTGTAGCTGGTCCAAACCTTCTGCCTGAAGTTCAAGGTGGTTTTTTGCAAGGCAGCTCCATTTCTCCTGCCTCTTAACACTTTCTATTCCGACCTGACTCGTCTTCCACATAGCTGGGCCACCATGCTTTCTGATTTTTGGTCCTCTTTTTCTTCTTACTTTAAAAAGCTGCCGTCAGCTGAGGAAAGGCAGACTTTTCAGCTACCATCTTTCTCCTTCCTCTAGATTCCTGTATTGTCAGTATTGTCTTGCTTATTGCTTAGTCACTAATTAGAGCTACTAGCCTTTATTGGAGGCTCACCACGTGCCAGACACCATGCATCATGCACCAGCAATTAACAAAGTCAAACCTCACAGTGTTACTATGAAGTTGGTGTTATGACCTCCCCGTTTTACTGATGAGGAAATGAGGCTAAACACCTTGCTCGAGGCACAAAGGTCTTTGGATCCATACGTGTGTGATTACAGAATTCTTAGGTTTTAGCATGCATAATCAAAGATGAATAGTAATCACGATGGTAATGAAAATAAACTGTTTTTGCAGCCACATGGCACAGTCAAGTTAGTACAACATAGAGCTTAGCAGCCATGATCTTTGACCCTGCAGGTAGAATGACTTGGGAAACCATTTCTTTTTGTCTCTAAAGCACCAGCACATTCACTGGAGACCGGAACAGCAATCCTGTAGCTACTGTGAGCACAGATCTCTGGGACAGGGCTTTTGGGGACCTCATTTGGTAGGGACCAGAGAGGGCATAGTTGGGCTATGTTTGGCAAAGAACTGACTCCCCTTCTGTGTTGTAGCTTTTAAAGGGAAAGTCTTGGGTCATTAGGTTTTCTTATAGCTTTCCCTTGCTCAAGGAACTTGGGTCAAATTGCTCTGGGATGGGATCAGGGGACACTTACCAATACTGCCCTCAAAAGTGGTCCTGTCTGCCAACCCTAAACCAGTTTTATGCAAATAAGATTGTGGCGGTTAGTGCAGGTAGGTCAGACCTACCAAGTCTAACGGGACACCTTTTGAAGATTTTGAAGACCTGTGACGATTAGTCATACCCTCACCTCAAGTTTATTGTCTTGTTTGGCTTGACAGAACCTTGAAAGTGGGGCAAGGAGCCAGGCTCTTTTGTAGCCACCACGGTCCTGAGCACTAGGCTGTGCATGGAGAGGACAGTAACCACCGACCCCATCGGCACACTGTGAACCCAGAGCAAAGCTGAAGGCTGAGGTATGCAGTGTGATAGGAGGTCATCAAGAGTGAGATGACTACTTTGCCACTGAGCCTCACACTCTTCCCTCCGTTCCTGCTCCTGGCTCAGCACTCAAATATCCAGAACAGCCATGCTGTCTAGATCCCATGGAGGAGGTGAGGTATCTCCTCAGCTCCCTCCTCCCTTCTCTCTGCCTCTGCCAGGCTCAGCAGAGTCTCAGAGGAGAGGCACAGCTTGAGTCCTGCTTGCCCCTGATAATCACACTGTCAGTGTCAGTAAGGCAGAGCGGTGAGAAACGAGACACCTTCTGAATACTGAATTTCTGGGTCTTGACTCCTCAGCGGTGGCACCTTCTCTCCTGTTGGGCAGTCACAGCATCATTTCAGCTGCACTGGGCGCGGTGGGGGGTGGTCAGAGCCAGAGAATGATGGAGCTGTGTTGCTCAGGAGCCTCGGGCACCTGCTGCTCAGAATCTTTATGAATCCCCTGCAGAAGGCTGTGGAAAGAGACACTTGACCTTCCCTCATTTCGGAAGAGAGAAGAGCTGGGGACTAGTGTCGGAATGAGTGCCCATTCTAGCTAGAGGGGTTCACCTCTGCTCTTGGGAAGAAAAGGAAATATTTGAAGTCTCAATAATGCTTCTGTTCATTATCAAACCCCAGCAGGACTTTATGATAATTTTTATAACTTCATTCAAAACTCTGGGTGCTTTGAAGGTT